TATAGTTACTATATATATTAAATTTTTGAAAAATGCTACATGTACATAATAAATGTACATAAAGATGTACATAACACTCATATGGAGTGGGGGCCACTTGATTTTTTAATTTTAGTGAGTCTACTCAATGTGAGTGTTATGTACACCTCTATGTACAACATTATGTACCTATAACATTATTCTAAATTTTTATAGCCCAAATGTGTTGCCAGGCCTTCGCAGCCCAAAACTATAGCCCAATTGCTTGTCCGTTTCTCCAAACCTAGGTATAAATTGAAAATTTTTATCTTCGCAAAACAGAATCAAACAATATGTTGCGATTTCTCTCCTTTGTTTCTGGGCGAAGTAATGGTGTTCCAAAGAAAATTTTCTCCCAAGCTTGTTTTCGTAAATTTCCCATATTTGCTGCTGCGGATCCTTACGATGCTTCTATTTTCTCTGCTTGCCCACGTTACCTCTGCTTGCCCACGTTACCTGGATTTGATTGGGGTTCCAGACTCCTATCGCACTTTGGAGTTGCCTAAAGTTTCTGTTGTGGGATCAGATGATTCTGGTATTGCAAATGCAATCTCTGACAATGGCGGATACTACTTATGGTGGATACTACTTATCCCAGACAGGACAACCCATTTTACAAACCTGGCAGCCTCAAATTATTTTACCTTGTCAGAAGCTAGATGAGGGGCATGTTTAAAGTGCTCTTTAAACCAGTAGTCAAAACTCTCACCCCAGGCTGCTGATAAATATTTTTCCATAATGAACTAAGAAATTCGTGATTGAAACCACCTTTGATCATATCATATTTGAATATTTGAATGCTGAATCAATCTTGAAACCACCTTTAATCATATCATATAAGAATGAATCGTAGTCGGGTGTTGTACTAGTACGGTAGTAATCTTATTTGATTGGATAAATACTAGATGATTAACACATCTTTTGAATTGTTACGGCCTAAATATTAGGGATTAGGCGAGGGAGTGAGTACATGGCGGGGCAAGGAGCATTTTCCACATTTATGATGCACCATTTGACCTTACGTTTTTGTTTACATAATTACAAATTTGTATAAGGCAACATAATTGTTAGGCAAATTGATTCGTCATAAAATTTCAATACATATTTAATATATATAAGAAAGAAAGTATTATACATAATATATGATCTGTCATGAGAGCAAGTTAATCCACATTTAAATTAAAAAGAAAAGAAAAATCTCGTTCATTTGGCAGTTAGTAAAAAAAGCTTGTCATAAAAGAAGTTAGGATAAATCTATTTTTATTCTTTCAAGTAATTAATCTCTCTCTCTTGTTTTTCATGAGTGCATCCCTAATTATTTACTTTATCTTTCGTAATATGCAAATAAGTTTTACATGTATGTAAATGTGCAATTATTTAACCTTAGTTATGGTATATGTGTAAATGAGCCCTTTTTTAAAAATGTGATATAATTATTTATTAGTAAAATTTATTAAATTTATATTAAAGTAATATTTAAAATAAAATAATTAAATTTGATTCGAAATAAAATAATTTAATTTGATTTGTTGTAAAAATATGAGAAATGATACAAAGTGATAATTAAAATTGTGTAAATGAATAAATAATAAATTAAAATTGATGTATAAAAATAATTAGTTTGTATTAGCTAATTATATAAATAATATTAAAAATTGTAAGATTAAGTTACAATTGAATTAAATTTTGAATATGAACTAAATATAACTGAAATATTTTGTAAACAAGGACCCTTACATAACTCATCCATCATCAAACAGTGATAATCACAATAAGTCAAACAAAAACCATCATTAATCACCAAAATATTCATCAGTCAAACTAAACCATCATTAATCATTATTCCATGACTTCACATAAACTAAACCATGAGGCACAGTTCATCAGTCACAAACTAACACAAACTAAATTAAACCATCATTAAAATTTGTCTGAGGAACAGGTTTTCCTCCTGTTAAAGTGGAAACATATCCATTCCAACAGTGAAAACCAAATACAAACAAAATTATATTCTCGGCTATGAGCCATAAACATTCAGATTTCATCCAACTACTAGTCTATCAAAACTCAAAGTAACCACTTTCATCCAACTACCAGCCCCTAATATTTATAATCTAAATCAACTTATCACCTCAGCAAAAGTAAACTCAACACTAACTACACTACCAACCACAAGTATTTACTTCAAAGTCAACTTGTCACCGTCAGCAAAATCAGGAGGTTCAATGTCAAGCACAACGTATGACTCCTCCAAGCCATGATCAGACAAAATCTTTTGCCAAGACTCTTCATGAATGGGCCAGCCATCAAAATCCACTTTATGGTCATCAGAGAGAGGAACTAATCCTTGAGAAGAAAACTGAACTTGAAGCTTGCGTACGCGCAAGATGATGGAGTGTGGACAATGATACAATTTAATAATGCAGCAAAATTTCAGATACTCTACAAATTTTGACAATGGCATCGACATTTTAGGGATACTTATCTCGGACAGGACAACCCATCTTACAAATCTGGCAACCTCAAAGTATTTTACCTTGTCAGTAGCTAGATGAGGGGCATGCTTATAGTGCTGTTTAAACCAGTAGTCAAAATTCTCATCCCCAGGTATAAATATTTTTCCAGAATGAACTAAGAAATTCGTAATTGAATCCAGCTTTAATCATATCAAATTGAATGTTGGATCAATCTTGATCTTTTGGGTCTCTTTAGCCTTAGCAATGTCACGTGGTGCATCCAGCCTCACGTTATGTACAAAATAGTCGTCAACAACCACAACTCTAGACCCTCACTTGTCTATACGATCATACTGATTCATGATCACATATGTTGAATAATACCCCAATCGTAACACATCAATTTTAGACCCTAGTTTGTCCAACAAAATCCCAATTTTTGAAGAAAAATCTTGTAAATCTTTTTCTCAAATTGAATATTCCACTGAGGTGCTGTCAATCTTTTTCAATTGGGAAGAGAAGCATCGAGAAAACATCCAAGAATAACCAATTGCGCAGATACCAAA